TAATGTGTTCATGCGGGTCTTTATTTACCCAAATGTTAACCACATTATCACGCATTCGAAGTACTGATTGACTTTTGTAGTGTTATCTTTTATGTAAGGCTTGGAAAATCGTATTTTTCTGGGGGTTTTTTTCTAAATTTTTTTTCTTTTTTTTTGTATTTTTTATTTTTATTATCATGAGTTTAAGTTAATCTGGGGGAACACAACCTTTGTTTTTGGCCAATATCATTTCATATGTCCCGACCATTCTTTTTTGTGTAGACATGAAGGTTTCAGATTTTTTTAAAATTTGATTGATTTTTTTCCCCCCGTCAAGTTTGTTCATTTTTGGTTTAAAAAAGCATTAAATTTGCGTGGCTATGACAACCGTAGTTATGAATGATTCTTGATATAATGGTATAAAGGAAGAAATTTAGTGAATATGCATATAAATGAGTGAATTAATGTTAATTTAATTTATCTTTAATTTTTTTTGGCTAGATCCTACCTAGAATAGCCCTTCCCGTGGTCATTTTTTGTGGCGATTTTCCCGTGCCAAAGAAAGTTTTTGAAATCTCACCAAGCTTAGGTTTCCGGGAAATATTTCGGCGAGATTGTTTTGAGCGTATAATCACATCACCAAAATTCTTAAACCTGATTGGTTATTTGATATACCTACGCGAAAGTTGGATTTCATTAGTAAAAAGGTAAAAGGGTTTAATTTTTTCGATGGATTAAATACGATGATTTTATTTAAAAGATGAGCCATCAGAGTAATTTAAGTTTTTTTTTATTCTATTAAAAATATTTTAATACATTTGTAATAATTTAATTTTTTTTTAAAAATAATCAAAAGAGTTTCAAAAAGTCGCCAAGAGGGCTATTCTAGGATTTTACCAATTTTTTTCTTTTTCTCTCCCTCCTTCTTTTTTTGTCAGATTAATTATTCATAGAACGTATTTTTTTATACTAGTCAGGGGTCTGTTTAGTAGAAATTTGGGTCCGTTAACGGACCCTTCACAAAATATCTTTTCATAAAAACGGACTTGATGACCTAAAAAATCTCATAAA